AAAGCGCCGAATAGATGAAGCAAGGAAGGTCTTTGAAGCCATGGTTATTAGCGGCCTTACCCCTAACCTCCATAGCTATGGTATTCTGATAAATGGCTATTTCAAGCACAAGAAAGTGGAAGCAGCCATGAATATCTTTCGTGAGATTCAGCATAAAGGTTTAACACCTAATATTGTTGTTTATAACACTGTCTTGCAGGGGTTATATAGTGTAGGAAGCTATCTTAGTGCAAGAGAAGTTTTCGATGAGATGCAAACTGCTGGCATAAAGCCTAATTTTTACACTTTCTGTGTAATGTTGGATGGATTATGCAAGACTGGACATGTCAACGAAGCATTGCAGTTATTCCATTCAATGGAAGCTGATGGAATCGATCATCATATAGGCATGTACAGTATCATCCTTGATGGTTTGTGCAAAAGTGGGAGGCTAGATAGTGCTCGTGATCTTTTTGACAATCTCTATGCTAAAGGATTGGATCCTAATGTCCCAACATACACCACAATGATTGCTGGCCTGCTTTCACAAGGCCTGCTCACTGAAGCTAAAGAGCTTTTTGGAAAAATGGAAGAAAATGGTTGCCTGGCAGATAGCGTTACATACAATGTTATTCTGCAAGAACTCCTTAAAGGAGGCCATTATGATGATGCAATAGTCTACTATGAAGAAATGGTTCGTAGAGGTTTCTTGCTAGATGCATCTACTTTTTCCATTTTACTTGATTCATCTACTGAAAAAGAGAAAAATCCTTCTCTACTTATGTTGATGCTGAAGATTGGTCCTGATAGCAAGAAGTTTATTGATGGGGGATAAAGAGGACCTTCACATTGGTTGCAGCTTTTGGTCCTACTGGTTTTTGGCCCCTAAACTTTAACTAACATTATTTAGGTTTGCTTTTGATTCTGTTTTAACTTATCATCTTTATGGAATATAAGAAGTGTTGCAGCTGAGCCTCGAGTAGCTCTCTTGGTCATATTTTGTGAAATGCCTCAAAGTTCTTCAGTCCAGGTGGAAGAAGCTGCGGTCTTTAAGGGAAGTTCAATTTATAACTGTACTGGTGCAGCAGTTCACAGAAACCTGCTGGTGTTAATTGGATATGTACAGCTTCTTCAGAGAGACTTCTTGCTTAACCTTTCTTAGAGAACTTCAGCGTAGCATATCACATAAAAGGTAACTTTTACAGGCTCCTTTTCTTTGTGTTTCATGGCTTTTAGTACTGTTTGCTTGCATGTAATTTTAGTTTGGATAACTAATAGCTGAATTCATTGGAATTAAGAATAAAACTTCATCTGAAAATATAATTTTTTATCTGGATTTATAGAAAAGTTTAGTTACAAGCTGCATTTTTAATAATTTGCAGGAAGTTTTTTCTTTCAATTCCTAAATGTAGCCAAAGGTGCAGCCAGTTTAAAAGTGTAAAAAATTTTTGGACCAGTATCTTGGTTTGGGTTAAAATTTTGAGGTCCCATGGATGGTCATGGTTGTTGACTTCTGTCACTGCATTTGATTGGAGGCTAACTTTTCAAGTATAATCCAGAAAATGTATTCTGATCACTTTCCGTTTAACTATAAACTAAACTACACAAGGATCCTTAGTAGTGAACCTTTAAATCCTTTAATTTGTAGGCATTGGTAATCTTTCAACAGTTTTATCAGTATAAGAACTCATTGAGCTTTTATTATTTAAAATTGATGTCAATGCTGTACTAAATTGTATATATACTGGATAGGAATGTGGCAAAAATATCTTTTTCTTAAAATAAGTTGCACTAATCTGTCCAAGAAACTCTCCATTCTTTTCATATTGTTCTCCTGATAAATACATTTACTTGTTTATTTAGTTGTTCATCTAAAATAAACTTCCTGATAATGAATTCTTTACTTTTAGTGTTGGATTGTTGCTAAATTGCAATAATAACTAAGAATTGGCATCTGTTGCACAAGTATACCAATTCGTTGAGCTTCTGTTAGGTTCCCATCTGCAATTGTCAAAATAATAAAGAAAAAGAAAAAAGTCTTTGTGGCTCATCAAAATGTTAACAATATACTGTTGTAGTCTAGCCAGTTTCATATCTGTCATTTCTTTTTCTTATTCTCGTTCTTTCCTGGAGAGCAGGAGGGAGGTGAAAGTTTGTATGGGATGTGAAGATTTCTTGTCAGATAAGGCTGCATTGAAACAATCAATCGGGTATTCAAAAGCAGAGAAAAACTTTCTATGAATTTTATGTGAAAGAATTCAGCTGAAGTGATTAAGAATAATTTCTTAAATCAATTTTGGGAACAATTTCTGTGGCTTTACTGACTATGTCCTTGTTAGGTATGTCATGCTTAAAATTTATGGAATATCTCTTTTAGCTGTGGAAAAAGTATGCTGTTTAGTGACCTATAAAATCATCGAGAAGCGATCTTTTGTTGATCTGCCATATAGCTGTTCTGTGCAGATTTTTTTATTTGTGTGGTTTTGTTAATGCATGCACTAATGAGTGATGGGGTCATCCATTGCGAAGACAATGACAGTTGCATGGTTTTTGGTTAAGAACAATAAGTCTTCTTGCTCATGTTAAAATTTTATTTGGGCATCCTAAGATGAAGATTTCAACGAGACCTTGTACAGATGTCTCCAGATTGAACTTAAGATATGCTTTATCAAGATAGAATAAGTTCCACGTTCAGTTTAAGTTTAGCTCAGAAAGTATTATTCTTCCATACTGTGCACATGCTTGGAGTTAAGATGCCATTGAAATTTTGTTCTACTTTGAAGGTCAACTTAGCACATTTAAAATAAAAATAATAAAAATAAACTATGGAAATGAAACCTGCATACTCCTACATCTCCATGTGCAAGTTGAACTTCCACAAAGGTGGGGCTTCCCCTTACAATTTTTCTGATTGAGGATGTATTATATAGTCAGAGGTTACAATCATGTTGATTCAATTTCGCAGAGATTGTGATTTCAAATGAAGTTATTAATATCTCATCTCTTTCCTTGTTCAAATTTCTCCTTTATTCATGTCATAAATTCTAGTTTTGTTTCCAATCTATTGATTCTGACCTTAATTTCTTGGCCAAAAGTTAGTTGTCTATGTAATTTTCTATTGGTGCATTTGTCAAACAGGTTCAAGTCATCTTCCAAAACGACACACATGTTTCCAAACAAATTCAATGGATGATTTGATTCATTCTCTAAGAAGCCAAAGAGAAGGTGAATGAGATCTTTGTTTCTGCAAAAGAAATAATTTATTTACATCGTCTTGCCTAATAATTCGAATTTTCCTTCTTTTAAGATTTATTGTATTAGGTTTTATTAATATGCATGGAAATTTATGGTTCAATTTCAATCTCTTTTGGTTTCAAACAGGGAATAATTGTTTCTGGAGGATATATATTTTATGATCTAATTGTGGCTTTAGCATTTTCTCACATAGGTTTAAGAAAGTTTTTCAACCAGTTGGCAGGGTGGGATTAAGTAGCTAGGTATCTGTATACACTATATGGCTAAATTCAAATATACAAGTCATTAATGACAAGTTTTCTAGATCCAAGACTGAATGCTGTCTTTTGTGCATCTTTTCCATTTAAATAGAAAAACTCTGTACCTTCTCTTCTGGTCAGAATATATCTACCTATCTAATATATTAATTACAGATATGCTAATATACAGCTAATATAGTAGACCATAATCAGCTGCCCTTGATTAGTGCAATTAGGAGACCATAATCAGCTGCTCTTGACTTTTGTAATTAGTAGACTAGATCCCATAATCAGCTGTCCTTGACTTTTGCATTTAGTAGACCATAATCAGCTGACCTTGACTTTTGTAATTAGTAGACTAGATCCCATTGCCCTTGATATCCCCCCTCAAATTGATGCTGGTCGATCAAAAAGCATCAATTTGTCAACCAGAAAATTGTGTCTATGACGAGAGAGGGCTTTCGAAAGTATATCAGCAGTTTGAAGATCAGTGGTGATATGAGGAAGAGGGATAACATGATCATCATATGCTTCGCGGATAGAGTGACAATCAACTTCAATATGTTTTGTACGCTCGTGAAATACAGGATTAGCACGATTAGTAGCTCTTGGTAATCGGCAAGAGTATGGAGTAGATTATGAGGAGACCTTTGCTCCTGTGGCAAAGATGACAGCAGTTTGGCTTGTTCTAGCTATTGCTGCTTCTACGGGCTGGTCATTGCGACAGATGGATGTTAAGAATGCCTTTTTACATGGCAATCTGCAAGAAGAGATTTATATGACTCCACCATTAAAGTTATTTTCTACATCTTCATCTGATGTTTGTAAGCTAAAACACTCGCTCTATGGCTTAAAACAAGCTCCACGGGCTTGGTTTGATAAGTTCCGTTCTACGCTTATTAGCTTCTCATTTGTTCAGAGTCAGTATGACTCCTCTTTGTTTCTTCGCAAAGACTGATAAGGGTCTTGTTTTACTTCTTGTATATGTTGATGATATTGTTATCACAGGAAATGACTCTGAATTAATATCTCAACTTCAGGAGCATCTTCAACGTTCTTTTCATATGAAGGATTTAGGTCCTCTACAATATTTTTTGGGTCTAGAAGTGCACTCTACCTCAGCTGGTATTTTCTTACATGAGCATAAATACATCCAGGAATTAATTGCTTTGGCAGGTCTCCAAGATGGTCGGTCTGTTGATACCCCCTTGGAAGTAAATGTTAAAAATTGCCGTGATGAGGGTGATTTTCTCTCAGATCCCTCTCTCTATCGGCAATTGGTGGGAAGTCTCAACTTTTTAACTATTACTCGGCCTGATATTTCATTTGCTATTCAACAAGTTAGTCAATTTATGCAGGCGCCTAGGCACCTCCATCTAGCTGCTGTTCGTCACATTATTCGTTATTTACTAGGCACTTCCTCTCGTGGTCTTTTCTTCTCCAGAAATTCTCCTGATCATTTGGTAGCCTATAGTGACGCTGACTGGGCGGGTTGTTCAGATACTAGACGTTCAGTTACTGGTTGGTGCATGTTTCTTGGAAATTCTCTTATTTCTTGGAAAAGCAAAAAGCAAGATAGGGTGTCTAAGTCCTCTATGAGTCAGGGTATCGTGTTATATCCTCTGCATGTTCTGAGATCATTTGGCTTTGAGATAGTCTACTAATTACAAAATTCAAGGTCAGCTGAATATGGTCTACTAAATGCAAAAGTCAAGGACAGCTGATTATGAGATCTGGTCTACTAAATGCAAAAGTCAAGGACAGCTGATTATGGGATCCAGTCTACTAATTACAAAAGTCAAGGGCAGCTGATTATGGTCTAGTAATTGCACTAATCAAGGGCAGCTGATTATGGTTTACTATATTAGCTGTATATTAGCATATCTGTAATTAATATATTAGATAGGTAGATATATTCTAACCAGAAGAGAAGGTACACAGTTTTCTATAGACATTCTTTCAAAAAAAAAAAAAACAAAGATCTAAATTACAAGAAAGGCTGCCAACCACAATATGATTGACCCAAAAGGATATCTTGAAACCAAATAATTGATCAAAATAATTAACCCAAGAAGAATAACAACTCAAAAAGTTTGGAAAGGCGGAGAAATTCAAATAACTGGCTCTGATACTGTGACAAGTTTTCTAGATCCAAGACTGAATGCCGTCTTTTGTGCATCTTTTCCATTTAAATAGAAAAACTGTGTACCTTCTCTTCTGGTTAGAATATATCTACCTATCTAATATATTAATTACATATATGCTAATATACAGCTAATATAGTAGACCATAATCAGCTACCCTTGATTAGTGCAATTAGTAGACCATAATCAACTGCCCTTGACTTTTGTAATTAGTAGACTAGATCCCATAATCAGCTGTCCTTAACTTTTGCATTTAGTAGACCAGATCCCATAATCAGCTGTCCTTGACTTTTGCATTTAGTAGACCATAATTAGCTGACCTTGACTTTTGTAATTAGTAGACTAGATCCCATTTCCCTTGATAATTAAATGCATAACATAGCTAAATTCAACTAAGTTGCAAAAAAAAAAAAACATATAATGACTATTTGTATAATTTTTCCTGTCACTTGAATATTAGCTCATCACTATGATTAGCTGATTTACAGAATGAGATAGTTTTGTATAGAAGTTGGAGGGAAATTTTCCATTTGTGTGTAAAGAAGGAAGAGATTTGTCCGACAAAAAGAATCAGGGATCAAAACAGGCTAGCAGTGAGCAGATTCCGTCTGTAACATTTTTACTTCTAATTCTAGCAAAGGCTCAAGGCTCATGATAAATGCATTTGGAGTAGTAGTATAGAGGTAAAGATATAGCATACCTTAATTAGGTAAGGATGTTGTTTTCTTCTTCATCTCAATCCAAATATCCATTCTTGATTTCATTAGTTTCTTTTGTGCCAGATTCCCCTACTTGAAGGAATCAGTGTGCTTGATTCTACATGGATTATTTGAAACAATATGTTCTTACTTTCAAATTTTTATGTATAGTACTTACTGCTTTCTTAAATTTTTTGTACTTTATCAAACAAATTAGGTCCAAAATAACTTTAGCAACCATGTTGAACTTAGGTACCTACTCCTAGGCGGGGCCTAATGCCCTAGTTATATTAGGCAGAGGACTTGGACAGACAATTTAGACAGGATCTTAAAGGTGTGGTTGGCCTTTCTGGAGTTAGGAGGGTTTTTGATCTTGAGGTTAGTACTATGAACAGTCAAGTCTTCAAAGCAATTGTAAAAGACATGGACATTTCAAAAGTTATAGCTGTATTGTTTTCATTAATCGTAATTGTCAAATACCATAAAAACTACCACCTTTCTGAATAATTATTTGAAATTTCGTCAAATCAGTTGTACTAATGATCATGACATACTTGCAGAAGACAATTTGCATGAATAAATCAATAGAAAATAGTATTGAAACTTCATAACGTGCAAAAGATGAATACGTTGTCGTAACAATACAGTCAACTCTGCAAGAGAGTAAAAAGAAATAGTATTGGTAAATATTGTAAAACTTCCTATTGTACTGTTTTATTATCAATACGATCAAATCTTTCACATAAAAAAGTGAGAATTGTTTATTGCTACGGTTAAAAATTTTTGTGTGGTAGATACAGGATATAGTTGGTATACTACTTTCTACCTTTGGGTGCAACTGTCAGGCAAATGTGCTATATGCAGGGGAAGGAGAAGAAAGTCCCATGACTTATTTTGCAGAAGAAAACCCCTTGTCCTCAAGGTATAGCTATTTTTGCTTGAAGATGAAATAAATCTAATTTCAAATTAGTTATCTTCTACACTCATAAAGCATGCATCTGTAGCTTCTCCCAAGTGTTTTAGTTTGAGAGTGTTATAGCTTATGTAGGGAGAAACAAGGCTATTTTCTAACAGCAAGGATGGAGACAGCAAAAGTTTGGCTCCTAGCTGCAATCTTTATCTCATGTTAAGATGTTAGTGTGATTTCAACAGAATATGACATGCTCGAGAGTGAATGTACTATTGTGGAGCATTAGGTTTTAGTGTCAACTTCATTTTACTGATTGAAGGTTGCATTCATTTTGCATATGACCGTCATTGGGAAATAAATGAGATGCAGTACTTCTGGATGCTTTAGCGAAACTTGTCACCATTAACTTGATTTTCACTTTGTGGTTGCATGGATTGGGGATGTGGTGACTTCCACTTCTAATCTCCTTTCTCATCTAAGTGTTATTCATTTTTTGTTTGAAATTCATTCAGGATACCAATAACCATGGTATTGGTAGCTAACAAAAGCTCTTGTTTTGTAGATTGATGTATCCTGTGGAACTATTTCTCATATTGAATTGCTTTTACGATTGCAATTTTTCAGGATTGGAAGGGTACTTATTGAACTGAAGGGTAAAAAAAAGCATGAATGCTCAACAGGAGAAGAAACTGATTCATGTGCAACTTGCTCAGGTTTTTCTTTTGTGTTTGCAAATGGAGATTATCTCACCTGTCTTGACTTAATTAAAGTTTTATATGGTGTTGAGAACATTTTTCCAGCTACCCATTTTAGTCTATTATTTCTTGTCTACAGCAGATAAATGAGGCCAAATCTTCATGGGCACTTTATGGTGCCATTTTTAATTTATTTTCATCCATTGTTCCAGCTCCATTCTTTGTGGCTAGCAGTTGTTAATTGTGAAGATTAAAAGGTGTACCAGGGCATTCCTTTGTCCGATAAGACCGAGGGAGTAGTGGCAGTGGTGAATAAATCAGGTTTATATTTTTTATTTCTTGATTAATTTTTGCAATCTTGTTTTGCTTAATCTACTTAGTTTATCAAATGATTAAGATAAAATCTTTTGAGTATTTGGTATCTCAATAGTGATGGAGTCAAGAAAAATGTTTTCTGCTCAAGTTTGGTCAGTTCTCTTAACAGTACTACTTTTCATTGTCTTCAATATGGGACAGGTTTTGACACATGCTGTAGTTGGGCTATTTTCCCTCTTTTTACAGTTTTTGAGAAAAGAAATTGCTAAACAAGTGAGCGATAGAGTCAGGTTGTTTCTATGTTTGCATGATCCTATAGATGGATTTCATTTTTTTAGTGTGAAGCCATTTAAGTATTGTAGATTGCTTCTCCTCTTGAGCTTGTGAGTTCCATTGTTATGCATGTGAATGAGATTCAAAGGGCCTTGATCTAGCCTTTGACTTAATGAGTTATGGTTTTGATTGTTTGATTGTTGCTTCTTTTGATATGTAATGCTGCTGGTTATTAAATGAATTGCAACTTAAATTCCAGGTGAATGACCATCATCTCGAGAATGCTGCATGTACTCTTTTTCATAGTGGTGCTGAAGATTAGTTGTTTGAATTAGTTGTTTTTGAGGGTGTTTTTGAAAAATTTTGCTGTAGCAATGTATATGAAATATTTTTACTACAAAAATTTTTTAAAATATTTGATATATTGTGTGAATGAGATGTTTTTTGAGTTATTGTATATTACTGTAACATTATATTTGAAAGCTTGTTTTTGAAAAAATGGCCAATCCAAATGGAGACTATGCATGACTGAATATCCACAGTTTAGAGTATTTTTAGTTTGGATCCTAGGAGGCTGAATCCAGAGATATAAATTAGTCGATATTTTTTAAAAGGACTTTGTGATTCAGATTGAATATGTGTTTTCTGATGCTATTGAAGTTCAAATATTACTTAGGAGCAAGGAGCTGTTTTCAGTCTATGAAGCAAATTTAGTGGGATGGGATGGTGGATTTCGAAATTTAGTCAAGTGGAACCCTTGCAAGAGAATGGGTGGAGGCCTTGCTACAGAAACTAGAAGCAGAAGCGAAAAGGCCCAAGCCCACATCACCAAAACGTGCATGGAAAAAGCACTAGATGAGCAGCACTTTTTTTTTTTCCCAAAACTTCATAGGGTACGTTTGGTTCTACAGAATTAGAATTGAATTAGAATTAAAATTCTATAGAATTGGAATTCTATGAATTGGAATTTCAAGTCATTTCAATTCTTTCGTTTGGGAAATGCATAGAATTGATACGGAATTTATTTGAAATTCCAAATTCTTTGTTTGTATGAGAGAAGAATTCATTAGGAATTAGAATTGTTTCCAACTAATATTTCCTTACATAAAAAATTTCTTTTTTTTACTATATAATAATTTTTAAACATTTAGCTAATTGTTACTAAAGCTTTAAGGAAAAAACCAATTAGTACCTTTAATAATTTATTTTTTCTTGCATTTAACTAATTGTTAATAAAGCTTTAAAAGAAAAAAAATTAGTTCCTTTTTTGCAAAAATAAAAAATTCTTTTTTAAAAAAAATTAAATTAAATTAAATAAAAAATAATTGTATATTCTAACTTAAAAAGTAGTTAATATTTATCGAGTTAAAACCTTGATACGTTTTTAAAGTTAAGAACTTTAAATTTTAGAAAATCAAAAGCCTACTCTATGATATGAATTGAGAGGAAAGTCATAACTTGTACCTATTATAAATATTTGAGTTTTTTATCTTACAAGAAATTTCAATATAGGAATACAAGAAATAGAGGAATACGCAAACAAAGTGTTTTTAGCCAAAAAAAAAAAAAGAGAAAGAAAAGCACAATTATACATTGCTACTATTTTTCAATAAATGGCCATTCTAATACGAAATTAAGTTCGAATAAATTCCTATCAAATTTCAACTTCCATGATGGCCTTGTCTAATTTGATAGTCAATAAACATTGCTCGTGCTAAAGCATTTCTAAATTGTGTCCACTCGCTAGTTGGTTGTACTGTTCGAATTCGATTCTCGTTAACAGCATTTACACCACCATCATTATTTGGACCATCATCTTCCATTCCATTTTCCTCATCTTCATCTTCCATTTCATCTTCATCATCAACCTCATGTTGTACTCTTCGCATCTCAGCATCAACTTCATCCAAGTAAGGGTTATTTGGTTGTTCTACTCGAATAAGATTATGAAGGATGGCACATGCATTAATTATTATGACATGAGTCTTAACATCAAAAAAAGATGCATCTCTCAAAATGGCCCACCGCTTCTTGAACAAACCAAATGTCCTTTCAATCATATTTCGAGCAATTGAATGTCGAAGGTTGAATAACTCTTTAAAATTTTGAGGCTTGCTCCCACTAGCAGACCACTCGCTAAGATGATATCTAACTCCCCTATATGGAGCTAAGAAACCGGAGCTATTTGCATAACCCGCATCAACAAGAAAGTACTTGCCTGTAATGTTAGACAACAAATTATTACTCATTTATAGTTAAAAGAAAAAAAAAACACTTGATATCTAATTGTCACATACCCTTGGGAACAATTAATGGATCTGATCTAACTAACGCATCCCGTAGAACTCTACCATCTGCTGCAGAACCTTCCCATCCAGGCAATACATATGTAAATCTCATGTCACGGGAGCATACACCTAAAACATTTGTTGCTATCTCATTCTTCCTATTCCTATATCTTCCTTGATCTCTAAGAAGAACATGTACTTTAACATAAGTACCGTCTAACGCTCCAAGACAATCCTGTATTATAAACAAAATATCATAAGTTGATGAATCTTGTAAATATTATCTTCATTAATAAATATCAAAAAATATTGATTACCTAAAACCATTCCCACTTTTCATGCTCGTAACATTCCATTTCCGATTCAGGCTGGATAAGATAGTGTCTCCCCAATTTTATGATAGCACGTAGAACTATATTAAAGTATCGACTAACTGTCTCACCTGATCTTATGAAATTAAAATTGACAGTGCGATTCTTAAAATTATGAGCAAGAACATAGAAAAACATTGCAACTGCCTCTTCAACAGTAATATTTCTAGTATCCGTCAACCCACAATGCTCTCTTAAATTTGTACATAAAACAGTAAAACAATGTTTATTGAGTCTAAGTTGCTCTACACAAACTCTATTGTTTCCATAGTAAAGACGCCTTAGATATATTTCACGTGCTACTTTAAAGTCCAAGTAAGGCTCCTTTACTATATGTTTCTCATGCCACCAAACTACTAATGTAGCTATTGTTACCATATAATTTGCAACTACTACTTTTCTCTTTTTTGCTTTTTGCTCATCTCCTTCTTTATCCATGTCAATATCCAAATTCTGCAATTCAAAATCATGACAACAATAAGAAAAGGTAAGTCAAAAGACCAAATCATGCCAAACTAGCTATTAATTCAAAAGACCAAATTAGCTATTGGAAAACTCTCAAACAAAAATTACAGCTATACCTATCACTGCAAATATCCCAAATCATGCCAAGTTCCATGCAAAATAATGCATAAGAAAAGGATGTCCGTACTTGAATTTTTAATCATATGCTTTAATAAGCTCTACTGCACTATGGTAAACAGAGATTAAAAGTAGGGATTGGATTATATATACCAAGCAGAAGAAAAAGGCTGAAAATTAGGCCCTGCTCGTTGATCAAGACGTCAATGAGTTGGTCCCATTAGTCAAAGTTTATCCACTACTCAATAATACGTATTAACTTGATGGAGCTTTATCAAGCCTCTACAACTTTAGCTTTGTCCTTAATCAATGCAATGGCACTTTCAACCACAGAAAGTCCAACAATAATCATTGGGTTCCTATTCTCTTATTCTATCATCGAGATTAACTGAAGTGATACCCAAAAAAAAAATATTGCAAGAAATCGAGAACACAAGAAGACAGAAAATAGGAGCTGTATGTATCTCCTACTGCTGAAAGAAAGAAAGATATATAAACAAGCTATCCGAAACAAGAAAAGAACCAGAAAATGCTGCTGAGAAGATCCCTCCACAAAACTAGATATATCTTCCAGAAAACCTTGAGGAAACTCAAGTCTTTTCTCTTTGGAAGGTATCAAAAGCTGCCTAAAGCTCCTTTTGTCAATCCCTTTTTCTCTAGCAGCAATAGCTGTCCGAAGATGCAGGAATTAGATGATTTCTGCAGAGTGCTCTCTGATCAATGGGGTACTCTGGACATAAGTACACTATCACCAAGAGTACCAATGGTGGAACATGTGGAATGCAGTGAAAAACATACTAGAGCGATAGTGCAGATTATTGTGGATAACACAGAAATAAAGGCAAGAAAGGTGCTTCACTACTATAAAGAATTTTTGGATTCTCACTTACTCGAGCATTCCATACATCCTCATCACGAACATCAATTCTACCTCTAGAGTAGTCACATATTATCGTAGACCCAGAGTTACAGGACTGGAGCAGTGGGTATAAGATGTCATAGTGTTTCTCCCATGTCTTGAAACGAGATATAATATTAGCCTTTGTCACAGATATATTGAGTTTATCGAATAAAGCATTCATAACTGCGGTGTAGGCTACTGTTTTCCATGCACATTTACCATCCAATTTGTTTCCTTGGTTCATTTGGTCAATAAAACAAGTGCCCATTACACGATCCATTTCAGGAGTCCAAGTGAAATACCCTTTGCCTTTAACTTTTGACTGAGATGTTGCTTCAGATGCCATATCTGAGGTAGATATGCACCAGAAAAACATCACAATGTCATGTTCTTAAGAACATATTTAATAGCTACTGCATTATAGAACTAAAAATGAAAGGCAAATATGCACCTGAAAAATTCATACATATGTTAAATGAAGAAAAATTCATTCAGTGCCAACAGATATGGCAAGTTATTTCAAAGATCAGAAGTCAATGTACTTAAATTCTGATTGGATTGGATTCTTCATTCTTCCGTTGATTTCTTTTCATTCTTTTCCTAAACAAACAGTATTAATCAGTAGTCAGCTTATTGTGATCCAACTAAGAAGATTTGCTGTTTGGGTTAAAGTCAAAATAAGATATGATTAAGAATATGATTATGAGTTTGAGTGCAATGGGTGGGTACAATGACTTCATCATTTTGTGATCGTATACTTAATTGATGAACAATTAAGTGGCTCATTGACCTCAGTTGTACATCACCAACTGCCCATGTGTGCAGCCATCTATTGGATACTAAGATTTTGCTGTTTGCGGCCAAAATTTTTGCATCTGATTTTAGAAACAATTAGTGTTACCGGAATGGAATACGGGACAGAAATGAGAAACAGAAAACAAAAGGAAGATCAAGTTACAGAAAACTTCATTTGACGAATATAATGCAGGAAGAACGTTGAATGTAAAGGAAAATGCGCTTACCGTTGAGTTGAGCAGTAAAAGATATTTGAGAATCCTCCCCTAGACGGCTTCAATATATACAAAATATTTGAGAATCCTGCACTTTGTTCGCGATTGTTGAGGTGATGGGTAGATGCGTGGCAGAGCGATGCCGGAGACGGTGGTAGAAGAGGGAAAATGTTAGGGTGGAGGTGAAGGGGATGACGCAGAGCAATTAGATTAGAGGTACTTGCGGTTGAGGAAAAGTGTCTAATTAGATCGCGAGAGAGGGCCGCTTACCTAGTTGACCGGGTTTTAATTTTTTACCCACTAGGATCCGCGTACTAATCCGAATAAGAGGTGAAATTATGGAATTGGAATTGTAATTCTTAGGTCTCACCAAAGAATTGAATTTGTGGAATTGATGGCCCATAGAATTCAAATTGAATTCTAATTCTCTGGCATTGATAGTGTCCAAACCGAATATTTGGAATTAGGGCTTCAATTCTAATTCCAAGCCTCCAATTCTATGGGAACCAAACACACCCATAATGTAAATCCCTTTCTTTTTGTTTTTAGCAAATGGCAAAGCCTTTTTTGGCATCAAAGACGACTCTGCTTCATCTCACCTTCTGTAGTATTCATTAAAAACTGCTTAATTGTTTTTCAGCATTTGTTTCAGTTGATAAAGTTTTCACAATGTAATCTAATAGACTATATTGACACTTTGTCTCACTTTAGAAATTCATACTGATTATGATGAATATTTCTACATCCCTCCATTTAGCTCCTACAACAGTACAGTTAATAATCAACCATAGAGATACTAATAACGGAGCACGTACTTTGCTTGTGAGCATGTTGTTTTTAGATTTTTTTTTCTTTTAAAATTTTTAGAAAATCAATTATTTTGAAGGAATAAATGTAAT